TGGCTAAGGGGTTTCAGCAGACAAAGGGAAAGGACTTCAACGAGCTCTATGCTCCTGTGGGGAAAGGCACAACACTTCGGGTGTCATTGGCAATGGCAGCAAACCGTGGATGGCGGGTGAAGCAGATGGACATCACCACCGCCTTCCTCAATGGGATCATTCTGGAGGAGCTGTACATGTTACAGCCTGAGGGTTTGGATGATGGGAGCGGCAGGGTGTGCAGGCTGAAGAAGGCCATCTATGGCCTGAAGCAGGCTCCTCGTGCATGGTACCACAAGTTAGAGGAGACTCTGCTGGCTGGGGGTTTCAAGAAGAGTGAGTGTGATCACAGCTTGTTTCTGCTGCAGGAGAAGGAGCAGTTTCTCATGCTCCTGGTGTATGTGGACGACATCCTGCTCTTCTCTGAGTCGTCTGCAATGATTGAGCATGTGGAGGAGATGCTGGAGATGCAGTTTAAGTGCTCCAAGATGGGAGATGTGAAGTACTATTTAGGGATGCATGTGGAGAGGGACCTTGACAAAGGAGTGTTGAGGTTGCACCAGAGAAAGTATTGTGAGGGGCTGGCTGAGAAGTACGGGCTGCAAGATGGAGGAAAGCCAGCCACCCCACTGCCTTCGGGGTTCACTGTGGAGCCCTGTGCTGATGAGGAGGTGGTGGGTGAGAGTGACAGGAAACTTTTTCATTCCATGGTTGGGGCACTCAACTATGCGGCTAACCACACACGGCCTGACATTGCCTTTGCAACATCCAGGCTTGCCAGTGTGGTTTCACGCCCCAGTCATGAGCAGCTGGAAGCGGCCAAGAGGTTGGTCCGCTATGTGAGTGCAACGGCATCAGTGGGTTTGGAGTACAGTGCTGTGAGGCAGAGGCTGCAGAGGAGTGCAGCTGATTTGAGCAAGGGGGAGATGCTCCTGACCTGCTACACTGACGCTAGCTTCAACTCGGTGAAAGCGGATGGCACCAGCATTGGAGGCTATGTGTGCCTGTTCGGAGGTGGTGCAGTGAGCTGGCGCAGTAAGAAGCAGAATGAGGTGGGGCAGTCCTCGTGTGAGACAGAGTACATGGCCCTGCATCATGGGGCAAAGGAGGTGGTGTGGCTGAGGCGTTTGTTGGAGGAGATTGGAGTTGGTCAGAGGGAGCCGACTGTGATTTTCTGTGATAATGAGTCGGCGGTGAAGCTAGCGAAGAATGCTTGTCTTCATGGGCTGACCAAACACATCAGGCCTAAGTGGCACTGGGTGAGAAGGCTCCTGGACAAGGAGGTGCGGCTGGAGATTGTGAAGACCCATCAGCAGGCGGCTGACATTCTCACCAAGCGCCTGGCTGAATCTGAGCATTGGAAGGGCATGAAGCTTGCTGGGATGAGTGTACATTGAGGGTGCATGCTTGAGCTATGGCATGTGGGATGATGGTTGGCAGCCAGAGGGGGAGTTTGTTGAGTGATGCTACCATTCGCATTCACGTCTGTCTGCCTCCCATCATATGTTCGTGCGTTGCATGCGTGTTGTGAGTGTGTGCAAGAAGTTGTGTTTTGTGCGGTTTGGTTTTTCTGAGTGTGTGTGTGAATGTTATTTGGCTTGAGCAGATATCTGAAGTGACTCCTCTGCCCAAGAGCTTTCCGAGGAACCAAGTATCGCTTCAATCGGAGCACGAACAAGAAAGTTACGAACGTTGGAGTTCGTATGCTTTTGATATTTGGTTGTGGTGACTATGGGAAGTTGTGGGGTTGACTCAATATGGGGTACAGACTTTTGGGGGTTGGGAAATTCGTCTTTTCTACTGTAGTTGCTGCCAAATGGTTGGGAGAAACCAAACCAGGTTGGCAAGTGTGGCCAAGTTGGGTTGAGGTGGATTGTGGAGGTTGGGATAGTGACAAAGGTCAAAGTTGGGTTGCCTATGGGGAAGGGAATTGTATGGCATGGGGTTTCCTTGGTTGGGGACTCTCTTGGGACCTTCCCTCTCGTCCTCCTCATCCCTTCCACCTGGTTTAGTGCTACTCCAATTCTCTTGTGTGAACTTGTGAGATCATTGTGATTGAGTTACGTTTTCTATGGCAGCATACCCCCTAGTGCGCCGAAGTTCATAACTCGAGCTATACTCCATATTTTGATACTGTTCAAATTGGGAAAGATAGCCACGGTCAAGGGCTACAACATACTCGAGTTTGAAAGAATTATAACAGTGGACATTTCGTCGACGACGTTTCTTGTGACGACGACTTTTCTGTCCAGAATTGTAGTTGACGATTTTGAGATATTTCAGCCCCTAATCTTCATAGACTCCGTCCTTAATCTCTAACAGCACCGTCCATGCTCGCACTCCCAGATGCAGTTAGAGCAGACATCACCTCCACAGGCTGGAGTGTTAAGAGCGCCGACCCACCCACCACAGGCACGCAGCTGCCCCTATACTCCCCGATCTGAAACCCCTCGTAGCACCGGCACACTGGAACCTTGTTCGGGCCCTCCAGGAAGCATTCTCCGTGGCCGTTGCAGGGAGGGTCTGTGGCCGAGAGCCCGCAGAAGGACGAGCAGACCTCTGGATGCCTCTGCTTGTCTTCCGGGCAGGTGAGAGAGGGATCGGACTGGGGGACGCAGTTGCCGCGGACGGAGACAACGGCACAGTTGGGCTTGGAGGAGAAGCCCCGTGTGAAGAAGTTCTTGTCGAGCTGGTACTGCACGATGTTGGGGGGCGGATTGGGCAGACGCCCTGTGAGCTGGTTGTCCCGCAGGTTGCTGGTGGCAGGGCGGGGATTTGGGGAGACAAGTTTGATTGGAAAAAAGGGGAATTGAAGAAAAGGGGTAGTAGAGAAATGGGGGATTAAAGAGGGAGGGTATTATAGAGCAGGGGGGGATTACTGCAGGGATGAGGGGAAGAGAGGGGATGTGAGTTGCGGGTGGAAAACGGGGTGGCTTTGAGAGGAAGGAAGCAAGGCAGAAGAGGGACTGGGAGAAAGTCAGGGACGTCTATGTAGGGTGCAAGGGGGGAAGTGCACCATGCATTGCAGACGCGTAGACGGAGTGCGGTAGAGGACAGGTATTAGAAGCGTAGAGTGAGCACGAGAGGAGGATGGGATGGGATGGCATACAGGACTGTGAGCTTGACAAGGCCTGTAAAGTCCTCGGGAATCTCTCCGTTGAGGCGGTTACCACTCAGGTCCCTGACAACAGGCAGCAGGAGTGGCAGCAGCATTATTGTGGCAGCAGCGGCGGCAGTTGAAGGAAAGGGAAGGTGGGACGGAGTGGTGAGCGTGGGAAAATAGTGACGAGAGAGAATGGGAAGAACAAATTAGTGAGTGCATTGAAGGAGGTGAGGGTAAAAAAAGGAGAGGAGAGGAGAGGAGAGGGGAGGAGAGGAGAGGAGAGGAGAGGAGAAGAGAGGAGGAGAGGAGAAGAGAGGAGGAGAGGAGAGGAGAGGAGAGGAGAGGAGAGGAGAGGAGAGGAGAGGAGAGGAGAGGAGAGGAGAGGAGAGGAGAGGAGAGGAGAGGAGAGGAGAGGAGAGGAGAGGAGAGGAGAGGAGAGGAGCAGAGAGGAGAGGAGAGGAGCAGAGAGGAGAGGAGAGGCGAGGAGAGGAGAGGATAGGAGAGGAGAAAAAAGGAGCTTAAGATGATGCCGATGGTGTCAAATATACAAGGAGGTAATGAAAGTGCCAGGGGCAATCTGATGGAAACAGAGAAATTGCAGATGGATGGGTGAGGAGGGAGGTGGGTTACAGATTGAGGTGGTGGGGAAAGAGAGGGATATAGGTCATGATTGGGTGAGGACCAAGGGACAGAGTGAAGGGAAGGAGATACGAGGAGATGAAAAGGGGAGGGGGGGCAGCAACGGTTACAGGTGCTCAAGCAGCAGGAGGCCGCCAATGCTTTGTGGAATGGTGCCTGTGAAGTTGTTGTCTGCTAGACGACTGCGAGGACGTGCGAGCGGGGAAGAGACGGCATGGTACAGTATGGCATGGCATGGCATGGCATGGCATGGAACAGTATGGCACAGCATAGCACAGCACGGCACAGCATGACATGGCATGGCACAGCAGTGCGGAGCAGCACAGAGAGTCCGAACATGTGCGGGAGAAGACAGACGAGAGAAGAGAGGGAAACCCAAACACAAAAGAAGATGATTGCGGAGGTGGGGAGCTGAGGCCAGGTGGGGAAACAAATGGAAATTGAGACAAGGGTGACGGCAAACAAGAGACGCGAGGCATCGAGAGGCAGTGAGAGAGGCACGCCTCACAAGGCACTTGGAAAAGGCAGGAATCAGCATGGTTGCACGCATGCATGCATGAGGAGATGTACAGATTTGTGAGGGAGCCTAGCGGGGTAACGTTGGGAATGGACCCATCTAGTCGGTTGTTCTGCAGCTGGCTGTTTAATCAGCAAGGGCAAAGCACAGAGAAAGCGGGGGGGATGAGTATCATAAGTGTTTGGGAGGGAGGGAGATACATGAGCATCGAGGGGGGGGTTTTAGCTCGACTCGTCCGAGATGCTCGTCAGGGGACGAACGAGTGACGGGCCCGCTTTTTCCTGGAAAATACTCGACCGAGGAGAGTCGAGTTTAACTCGGCGAGCTTTTGATACTCGTCAATTGCTCGCCACTCTTGACGAGTTTTTTGTGGCTTTTCTGCTCGTCGAGTTTTTTGGAACTTGACGAGCATAAAAAGCTCGTCGCGTAACTTTTGCCAGGGATTCATTTTGGCGGGAAATTTTGGGCCCAGATCTGAACCCTCAAAGTGTTCCCAACCACTTTCGCCAACACAAACACAATCAACCCGTCCTGAATTGATGCTTCCCTACCCGTTCGAACAGTTCAGTGTGTTTAGGTTAACACACACACGGTGCCATTAGTAGAGCCGCGCACACACCTTACCTTAGCATAGCCCGCGCGATTTGTGTAACGCCAGGCGCTTTAGCGAGAACACTGCAGTTACGTTAGTTTAAGTTATTAGTTTGGGTGCACTAATCGATTTCCATCTAAGCGCAAGTTTAAAACGGAGTTATAAGTACAATGCCTAAGGCGCGCGATAAGGTGCTGGCGTCAAAGAATAGGGGTGGGTCAGCTGGTGGCGGCCATGGAGGAGGTCGTGGTAAGGGTAAGGAGCAGGTCGCCGCCTCTCATGGCGGAATCCCGTCCAAGGAACGGCGCCAACTGAAGTGGGTGGCGGGGAAGGATGATCGCGAAAAGCTCGCTAAGGCTGCACCTGCAGGGCCTGGTGGCGCGAAGGGGGGAGGGGCTGGCGGTTCTGGGCGGGATCCGCATGAGGATAACGAAGTTGTGGGCGCGTATGGGCACGAGTATCGCGGCGACGTGGAATATGGCATGGGAGAAACGGATGCCACGCGAAAAACAGACAATGAGAAGGGGACGGAGGGGATGGAGGGGGACGAGATACAGGAGGACGAGGCGGAAGGGGAGGAGGGGGGAAATGCCGATGAAGATGCGGAGGAAGGGGATGATTGTAGTGGATCTGAGGAGGACGAGGAAGAGGATGGCAGTGGTAGTGGAGACAACTCAGAGGAAGAAGTATATACCGGGGAAGGGGAGGAGGCGGACGGTGACAAGGCGGCTGACTTTGTGGACTTGGTTGACGAAGGGGGTGAAGATGATGAGGGCACCGAAGGTGAGAAGGGAAACAAGCGGCAGAGGGGTGGGGGAGGGAACCAAAACAGGGCGTGCGGTAGAGGTGGCAAGCGCAAGCGGCGTGGGGGGGGGACGGGGGAGAGGTAGGGGCCGAGTAGAAGGGGGGGGTCGTGATGGAGCGAGGGGTAGCGGGTCAGTGGGTACTACGGAGGAGGGTGAGGCAGTCATTGCCCCAGTACGCACCACAATGTCTGGACGGCCTATCCACGCGGCCACAGGGAGACCCATGACGGGTTACGTGACCCGTTGTTTTGAGGAGATGGCGGGGGAAGACAGGTTGCGTCGCTGCCGCAAGTGCAGCAAGATGATCTCATTTGTGAGCGGGAACGGGAAGACTGGCAGGGCTCACATGGAGGGGCTGCATAAGCACCACTACGCCATATGGTTGCGGAAGTTCAATGCGGGGGAAATCGGGCCTGACGACTACTTCCCGGAGGGTGGCTATGGAATGGACAATGAGGTTCCAGACGGGAAACTTGCTTGGGAGGGTTCTGCTACGTGGCCTGCACCGCCCCCAATCGGTGTGCCTGGGCAGTCAGGACAGCAGCGGCTGACCCATTACTACCCCGAGCGTTTCGACAAGGATGTCCTCCAGCAGGCCATGGTGGAGTTCGTTGTGGCGACCGACCAGGCCTTCAGCGTTGTTGACCACCCCACCGTAAGCCCACCCATACCTTCTCGCACACGCCGTTGTGTCTCAATCACGTGTACAGTACTATGTCATAGTGTGTTGCTAACACTAGAGCTTTGTCATCACTCCTACGTCTCCTTTTATTGAAGTCGTGGTTGCTGCAGTTTAACTAACCCTCTTCAAACCCCCTTTTCCCAAACCTGCCCGCCTCCTGTGCAGTTTCGGGGAATGATGATCGCCTCCAACCCTGCATGTGCAGAGGAGAAAGTCATCCCGAGCCGCTCCACTCTAGCCCGCCAGATCATTCGGCTGGCAGGTCTGGCCAAGAAGAAGCTCAAGCAGGAGCTCCTTGCAGAGGGGTCAGGGGCTGTCGCACTGACCCATGACATATGGACTGGTGCGAACCATCGGTCCTACATGGCTGTCACGGGCCATTCCAACTCGAAGGACTTTGAACTGCGGCGGGTCACACTAGCGTTCTGCGCACTTCCAGGCGACCACACCGGTAAGAAGATAGCCGAGGTGGTGGAGGACGTGGCGAAGGACTGGGACCTAGAGGGACGGTGCATTGCGGTGACGTCGGACAACGCCTCGTCCAGCGTCGCCGCGATGGAGTTTCTATGTCGCGGTGGGCCGGGGGACCGCCAGCCACCCTTGTTCTTTTCGGGGATGCACGTGCGGTGAGTTGCCGCCAACCCCTTTCACCAGCCTTGCACTGTCCTTTGCAGATTCCCTACACTACACTACACGTGCCCGTTTTTCTATCCACAACGTATTGATGCACCCCTGTGTGTCACAGTCACCGTATCCTGTATGCCCTACCCATGCATGCATGCATGCAACTCTCCCCCTACCCGTGTTTAGAATCTGTCCTGCCCATCCCCGTTTTCCGTCCAGGTGCCTAGCATGTCAACGGGAGTTGTTGTTGGCCCCGTCCTCGTTTGGGCGGAGCCGACTTCGTGGTCGGGTGTGAGGAGTGAAACCGACCTGCAGCAGTGGGGGAGCTGGTCGACGGGTCTGGTCGACCTGCACGGGGGCCACTGCAAGGGCGCCGACTTGGGAGGGCGCCAACTTCGGCTGGTCGACTTGGGAGGTCGACCAGAAGAGGGCGTCGACTTGGGTGACGTCGTCCTGGGGAAGCCGACTGGGTGTGGTCGGCTGACAGGTGAACTGGTCGACCTGGGGTTGGTCGACCAGGTGGGTTGTCGACCTGGAGCTGGTCGACCAAGGTTGTGGTCGACCTGGTGAGGTCGATAGAAGGTGGTCGTCGATTTGGGAGGTCGACGGGCACACGAGAAAGCAGCTGGTCGACACGGTGGTTGCCTGGTCGACCAGGTTACCTGGGTGACGAGGTTCTGCGGAGGAGTGCGACGGTCGCCCAGGTGGTAGTGGCGAGACCGACCTCGGTGGTGGTATCCCGAGGTCGACGTGGCTGGTAGGCGCAGTCGCTGGCGTGGAGTCGAGCTGGGCGTCTGCGCTGTGCACGTGACAAGGAGAAGTGCACCAACCAGCTGCATGCACCTGCAAAGCAGGTGCACCGTTGTTTTGTGGGCGCAACGCTGTGCAGCCGACTTGCTGCAGCGTTGGCACACCGTGGACTTGCAACGTTGGCAAGCCGCGACTTTGCTCTGCTGGAGCGCGGTCGACCAATTCGTGCTGGCACGCGGTCGACCGTGCTGCACTGGAAGTCGACCAGCAGCTTTGCTAGGTCTGATGTAGTCTTGCATGCCAATGTTGTTGCGATCATTGTTGTGAACTTTGCTAGTGAAAACTCTTGCCAACTTCCCCCGTGAACCAGCAAGTAGTGCAAGCACGAGGAAACGACAAGGAACGAACGAACGCAGAGATCCCTCCTACCCCGTGCCTAGCCCGTAGTCCAGCTCCCGTTGATAGAGTTATCTCCGCATAGCACACATCTGTAACCTGGCTGTACAGCTAGCGTTAAAGAAGGTGCTTGACATAACGCTCCCTCTGGCAATCCTACGGGACCTGGCCTCGTTCATTGGGTACTCGCCCAAGCGGACGGCGGCGTTCGAGCAGGCCCAAAAGGACGAGAACTTCAAAAAGATGCTGCGTCTTCGCCAGGACAACGAAATGCGCTGGGGCTCTACCTATCTCATGCTCGTGCACGCACTCCGCCTCAAGCACATCATCATCAACTACATCAGGCACGCCGATGTGAGTATGTGTGTGTGACACGATTACGACATGCATTGACTCGTTTCCTGGTCATTTCAATGCAACGCGCTTAACCTGAGCATTCTGCCTCTCCTTCCATATCCCCCTCTTTCACCACCCATACACACAACCCACTCCACACTCACCAACTCCAGGGAATGTCCGAGAAGGCTGCTGCCGGCCTTCAGGCCCTCACCATCACCGAATCCCAGTGGTTGGCCCTGGAGGAGCTGCGCGACTTCCTCCAGCCCTTCCACTCCGTCACCCTGGCGGCGGAGGGTTCGTCGTACCCCACCATCTCAAGGGTGGTCCCGCAGTTCAACGAACTGCTGGACAGCCTTGAGCGGCTTCGGGACCGTGTTTATCCCCCCACCTCCCAAATCATGAAGGTGTGCGTCGAGGTGGCGATGGAGAAGCTGCAGGAGTACTACGGTAGCAGCAAGGATGAGCTGTGGGTGGCCACCTTCCTGGATCCGAGCTTCAAGATTGGCTATTTCCAGATGGGGACCGAGGGGATGGGGGAGGAAGAGGGGAGTGGACATGTGGTGGGTGCACAGCATGTGGGGGCCAATCAGATTTTGGAGTTGGTACGAGAGAAAGTGCGACCGTACAAGGAGAAGGCGCTGGAGGCAAAGAGGAAGCGGGAGGGGACTGGTGGAGGTGGTGGGGCCGGCCGCGGAAGGGGGGAGACCGGATCAGTTGGGGCCAGCAGCAGCAATGGCCGACAAGGAGGAGGTGGGGGCAGCAGAAGCGGCAGCAGGCTTGCCACTGATGTCTTCGGTGGCGCTGTGGGGGACAAGATGTGTTTGGTGGCGCGGCTGGCGGCTTTTCGCAGCCGACAGGAGCAAACAACTCGCGATGAGGTGCAGATCTACATCGATGAGCAGATGGAGCCGTTGGAGTTGTGTCCGCTAGCGTACTGGCGCCGCCGGAACGACCTAGAGAGCCTACAGGCGATGGCCCTCGATTACCTTGCCATCCCCGCGACCTCGGCTGCGAGCGAGCGCACGTTTTCGCAGGGCCGCAACCTCATCACCTGGCAGCGGCATAGGCTCGGCCCTGAGCGCGTGGAAGCATGCTTCATTCTCAAGTCTTGGGTTGACTTGAAACCCGGGTGCAAGCTTGGGAAGGAGGCAAAGGATCTGCAGGCCAAGGCGGAGAAGGATGCCGTGGGTCTGGAGATTGATGACGAGTGAAGTGGGTGGTGGGCTTGTGTGATTGGGTGGACGGCGCTGTTGAAGGGGATGGGTGGGTGGGAATGAGAGTTGATGCTGCTGCTGCAGGGGGAGAAGGCATGAGTGGTGGGATGGCGGGTCATATTTATAGCTAATGGGTGGTTGGTTGTTGCTAAACTGCATGTTGCTTCTCACCAAGCGCACGCTCACCAGGGCGCAAGACCTGGCCCCTTATTAAATTATAACATGCACAGGGTTGTCTAGTGGCATTAGGTGAACCTTTGAGGTGCCATTACTGTGGGTTGCTGCAGGGTATCCTTGGGCGTTTCATGGTGTACCCGGGTCCCGCTCAAGGTTCTCTGGTTTATCACCAGGCATCCATGAGGTTTCCTTGGGCTCCCATTGCTTGCTTGACTTCCCGTGCTACCCATCCCTCCCACAATACTCTGGAGTGGCCTGGCTGTATGATTTTTTAGGGTGGAAAATGTATTAGTAGGGCCACTGGTGCAGGCAACTGGGGGCGAGTCGAGCATTTCAGTGCTCGGACAAAGTATTCTCAGATGCTCGCCCGAGCATGTACCGAATCAAAGAGTCTCGAGTAGGCAAAATTTTCAAAAAAACTCGTCAGAGTAATACTCGACTCGCCCCCAAAGCTCGACGAGCTCAGTCTGTGACGAGTCGAGTATTACTCGACTCGTCACCTTGACCATGTCTGAGATACAGTAGCGTCAGGCAGCTGCGAGCAACAGCAGAAAGGTGGAGCGGGAGTGCAGTGAATGGTGGGCTGCAGAGCAGCAGGCTCATGCATCATGTGTTTGTGATGTGATGCCACAGTGCCAGCCGGTGTGAAAGAAATGAATGCGCTTATTGTGTAGCATGTGTGACACAAAAGGAAACACTTGGACGAAATGTATTATGTGACGCTTGGATGAAGAACAGCACATGAAGTGCAACCACTCGATCTGCGCCGTGCAATGCATGTGATGCGCGTGCGTGCGTGCGTGTGTGTGCCAATCAGCATACAGGTCTTTGAGGCGGTTGAGATTCATGAGGGACTGGGGAAGGGAGCCACTCAGAAAGTTGTCGTTAAGGCACCTGATACAGGCATGGCATGCATGGCACTGATTGATTGATGTTGTTGACAGTGACAGAAAATACTTGGTATTGATAAAAGGAAAAGGAAAAAAAACAGAAACTATATATACACACTGACGTTGACATTGGTTCTAAAACTGACGCTGGTACTGACTGACATTGATAGTTGATGCTGACATTGACAGAGAGAAATTGTTTGAGCAAGAGTTAGAAGCATCTACTTTTGAGACGCCCCAACAGGAGAAACAACAGTGAGAAGATGCTGGTGCAAGTGTTCGAAGCGGCAACACATAAACACGGCATGCCATCATGTGCTCTACTATAGATGCTGTGCTGGGGTAATGGAGAGTCAGGGTGGTTGGAGAGGAGAATGAGAGTGGGAGGAGGGAAGGAGAGTGAGGATGGAGAGTGAGGGAGGAGAGAAGGACAGTGAGGGAGGGGAGAGACACACACACACAGATACAGGCAGACACAAAGACACACACACAGACACACACACACACACACAGGCACACACAGTGTCAGTAGTGGCACGCCGTCTTGCCACCTTCCTGTTGCCACATCAGCTCACTCACAGGCTCTCCATCTGCGGAGGACCACCATCGGCTGGCGGACCAGCCACAGCGGCCGTTGCCGCACGGGATGCTGAAGGCCGGGCGAAGATCGCCCTGTCTGAGCTCTGAAACACACCGCTGTCAATCTCCCCCTTCAGCAGGTTCCTATCCAGGTTCCTGCGCAGAGCAGCGCAGCGTGCACAAACAGAGACCGCGCGGCATCGAGAGGGAGAGTTGTGGCGTTTCTCAATAGCTTGCCCAGGTAAGGTGACGTGCAAAGCGAGAGAATGATTGAACACAGCCACTGAAATGCAGCAGATTTGGGGAGGAGATTTGTGCAAGTAAGAAGAAGAGAGTATTGCGAATCTCTCTCCGTCCGCAGGTTCCCCGGCAGGTTCCTGCACAGCGCGTAGAGGGTGGGACCTCTCTCGTCAGGTCAGGGTGCTAGCCTATGTGACACACTCAGCATCCGGAGCCAGGGCATGGCTTTTGAGGCGCCTCAGAAATTGCGGGTTGAGAGACGACTTTTCAGGCGCCTCAAAAGTCCTCTGGTCGAGGTACTAGCCTATGTGACACACTCACAGCATCCGAAGCCAGGGCATGGCAATGACAAGGGGGGGGATGGCCCTGGACAGCTGATTGTTGTTGAGCCACCTGAGACGATGCATTATGTGATACGAATGGGAAAAAGGCAGAGGGGAGGGGATGACAACTCAACAGCGCAGCCACCCAGCCAGTACGCGAGGCTGGTTCAATCTGGCTGGTTTGTTGTGGATTGGAGTCGGTTTATTGGGTCCGTAGAACGGAAGGTTAGAACATGAGACCGGCATGAGCACGAGGGCCCCTTGCAGAAATTGTGTGACGGTCAAAACCGGGCCGCAAATGGTTCGCGTCGGGCGGCGGCGCGAGGACTACCGGCCCCGTTCAGGTTTTTACCGAGTGGCCAAATATTGTCGGTTTGCTGGGACGAGCCGGATTTGGCGTCCCGGGCTGCCGAAGCGAAATTCAAGGCCAGGCCCGGCCCTCACTGAACGCGAACCAGATCGCCCTGGGCCGAACCAGGTTCGCCCTTACGCTCAGGTCATGAACTGTCAAGCTGGGTCATGCAGCACAGCACAACGCAGCACAGCACAGCGCAGCGCAGCGCAGCACAGCACAGCACAGCGCAGCGCAGCGCAGCGCAGCGCAGCACAGCACAGCACAACACAGCACAGCACAGCACAGCACAGCAAAGCAAAGCGCAGCACAGCACAGCACAGCACAGCGCGGCACAGCGCAGCGCAGCACAGCACAGCGCAGCGCAGCCCAGCGCAGCGCAGCCCAGCGCAGCGCAGCACAGCGCAGCGCAGCACAGCACAGCGCAACGCAGCGCAGCATGCATCATGAGTGCATCGTGCATGGAAGAAAGCCTTACAGGGTTTCAAGATTGGTAAGAACCGAGAACATCATTGGGATAGTGCCTGGTATGGCGTTGCCATTCAAGTACCTGCACACGTGCATCCACGTAAGAGCACAGCAGAGGCAACAGCACATGCAGCAAGACAGGTGAGAGACGACTTTTAAGGTGCCTCAAAAGTCCTTGGGATATTGCCTGGTATGATGTTGCCATTCAAGTACCTGCACACATGCATACATGAAAGACCAGAGCGGAGGCGATAGCACAGATGAGAACAAGTGAGGGACAGATGAGAGTTCAGGAAAGTACAGATGAGAGCACAGGCGAGCGTGCAGGCAAGAGCACGGCGCATCATTCACTCGGCAAGTGGCGCCTGATACATGAAGCAATGCGCAATCCTGGATGGCTGAAAGGCAATACAATACAAGCATGCCGTCACCTCACCAGCTGCCTCGTGGGCTACATACATGCATGGACGGACTTGCTGCGTGCACACATGCAGCTCAGCAAAATGACAAGTATGCCGATTTCTTGTAATCGACTAGAAAATGAGCAGGATGACGTGGGTGCGTGCAGTGGTGGTTGGTGGATTGACTGACAGTTGCTGGAGGGTGGTGAGGGAGAAGAGTGATTCTTGCATGGCAGCCAGCCTGTTGTAGCCCAGGTCACTGCGACAGCACAGAATGGAGCCATGCCACGACACCACCACGGCCATGCACGCAGCATGTGCACACACACACACACACTTGCATCTTCTAAGGGCGATCACGGCGCAAGGAGGAGAGAAGGGAGGGTTGAGATGACGAGGGGTAGGGGAGCTTGGGGAAGGGGGTGTGGGAAGGGGAGAGTTGGGAAGAAGCAAGCAGGGGGGTCAGCATGGGTACAGGGACGTTACACGTCCGCCCAAAAGAAATCAACTACCACCACATGGTGAGGAATACGTGGGGAAGATTGCCATTGTAACGAGGTGACTTTTTGAGTCGACTCAAAAGTCACCTCGTCACACGTCCGTCCAAATACTACCACCATGTGGTAAAGAATACGTGGGGAAGACGGAATGGGATGGCTCATTGTATGACATGATCTGATTTGATTCTTGAGTGGAGGCTAGAGGACACTGACAGGATCTCGATGGATGGCGCTCTGATGGGCCCAGGGGGGGTGATGCCCGTAAGAGCGTTGCTACGGAGGATCCTGTGTGTGAGTGAGGCATGAGTGCGGCAGGAGTGAGGCGTGAATGAGTGAGGTGAGGCATGAATAAGCATGCGAGGCATGCAGAGCACTTCATCGTACCAGCAACTACAGCAGCAAGCAACTGCATGCCTAGACATGCAGCACGACACAAACGAACATGCAGCACGACACAAAAGAACATGCAGCACGACACAAAAGAACTTTACTATCACGTAGCAAGAATGGAACAGAAGGGCCAAGCCAAGACGAAGGCGGGCTCATTGCAGTAATAAAACCAGGCGAAGCAGAGTGCCACAGCCGCGGCGCCTGATTGCAACAGAGAAGAGAGTGCAGTGGAGCAGCGCGAGCGCGGCGTAGCGTACATTGTCTTGAGCACGGGCAGCGTGAGGAGCTTCCCTGGAACGTCGCCTTGAAGCCTGTTGCTCTCGAGGCTCCTGATCATGGTTGCAGCAGCCCAGCCCATGGGCGTGGCAGGGAGGGGGATGGGTGGGGGAGGGAGGGGCAAGGGAGGGGAGGCTATGTGAAGAATAGACAGGAGCAGAGAGGCAGGGGGGTTGAAAGACAGGTGCACCTGGACTTAAGAGAGCTGTGAGTTGTTGACGCAAAGAGGAGGTTACCATGTAATGCAGGTCCTACAGTTGGATCAAGTACCAATCTGCTGGCATGCACGCACACACACCCTCAACCCCTCCCACACAGTTACACTTGCACACCCATACTTACAGTTGCACTCACCAGAACACCCCCCTGCCCGCCCGCACGCACACACGCATGCAGAAACA